ACGGCGGATTCTAAAGAGGCACATTGAGTATGCCTGTGTAAAGATAGCACAGCGCGTCAGCGTTGTAGGTCAAATTGTATGTTGCATGCGCGACGCGCCCATACAGCCCGTGAGCTTCTGTAGACCCGGGCCTTGTGGTTCTACGTTCACCTGTCCACTTACTGATATATGACGGTTCGCTCATGGAACATGTTTCTTCTTGCAGGTTGGCCTCTGTCGTTCACGAACGGGTAGGCAGGTATTCAGTGACGAACGTGGGTCAGCGAATTTTCTGAGCTGCACAGTGACAGCAGGAACATGGTGAGCGCAACTCACAATCAAATTACAGAAACGCTCAGGACATCTTCGGATCTTTCGATGTGTACAACTAGGCTTCGTCGTCGACGCCAACATATGCACGCCTGCACGGCTGATGCGGCATGAAACGTCCATCCAAGGCCTGTTAGTTCCGAGAAATAGCGTCTGGAGCAGCGCAATACAGTCCGCATCGCGCGCGCGAAAGAGAAGCTGCAGGATACCGAACATGCAAGGTTTAGGAATGGTCACGGACTCGGAGGAGAGAGAGTCAGGTTGTCGGAATGTACACGGACCGGACGGCCTGGCCCCTGGGCAGCATGCTCCCGTATGAATCAATAGCGTGATGCCCACAGCAGTCATATGCATCGTACTCCTACTCAATTTCGCATGCTCTGCATGAGTTGTCAGCGAGTCGCCAAGTCATGGCTAGAAGACCACTCACCTACAAATCAATACAGCATCCATTTTCTTCGGTGCTGGCGGCCGTCCCGACTCTGACAACCGTTCTCGCCCCCAGGTTCGAGGGCGGCTTCTGTTTTGACGATACGCGCTTCGAGAGCGTCGACGTCCTCCGGAGTGACCACTGACGCCTGCCACCTCAACGTCCATCTTCTTCAGATGCATGCGAACATAGTTCTATGAGCGTAGTGATGCGAGTATCGTCCACCCTCTGTAGGTGAGCGCGAGACCGGCGAGTGTTGATTGCATTGTGCCACGCCATTTGATAGATGCTGTGGTGTTGACGTATTGTGGCAGCGTATCGATGCTCGGAGGAGATAGGGAGAAGTGCTGGATGACTTCGATTGAGACGTCTTCAATCTTGGAAAATGCCATTGTGCAGGATACGGTGTAAAGTGATCGTAAGATCAAATGCACCGAGCCATCGTGACTCACCACAAGTTGCGACTCCGAGGCGTTAGCTTGAGTGCGGCGGAGTTTCTATATATGCCTCAAAGAATGGCGTTACGCTCAAAAACGAATATAGAGGGGGGTTAGTCAAGGACACATCCGCACGAGCGACTCGAGATTTTTAAGTTTGAGCGTCTCTTGTCCGTCCACGGTGCCGGCAGGTTCTGCGGCTGATACCCATGTGCGAGGCCGGAAGATGTCGCAGAGCACCGGTGCGAGACGATCCAGGTCTACAGGAATCCCGGTGCGCTTCTGATCTCCGAACGACGAGTAGAGGTGAAAACCTGAAGGCGTGAGCGTGAGTTAGAGCGCCGCAGCATGATGTACGCCTCGAGCTCGTCCATATCCTCCTCGGTAGGACGTCGATGACTTCCACGCGGGGACATCCCTGCGCCAGCGCAACCAGTCCTCGCAGCGTCGGGCGTGGTTTGACAGTGCCTGCACTCCTATGTCTTCCGTGTGCGCGCGTAGTGTTAGCCCATGGCCCTCATTCGATCCCAGCTAGGACGCACCGAACACTAATGTCAGTGCATGTGCCTCCGTCCGTCGCCGTATCTTGTGCCGCGCGGATCTGCTCGCCCTCGTGCATACATTCAGACATGAAAGACGCTTCAAGTGCGTTCTATGTCGGCGTGCATGAAGTCGACTCGCGTCCGGTGGCAAGATACGGACAAGTGGCAGTGTGGCCTTGGGAGAACAGGGGGAGGAGTGCTCGTGAGCTCCGTTGAGGACGTCTTCGGTCGCAATAAGCCCGCAACTGCGCCTGAAGTATCAGGCCCAAGGGCGCCGAGTCACCTAACAGCGCGAGGCGCCTGAGCCAGCTCAGTGTGCACCGCCGTCACGCCGCCAAAAGGAGGTAGTTTGCTTTCGTAGCCATGACAGGTACCAGGAGGCTAGGAAAATAGCGCTACGCAGTCAGTGTCCATTCGCACTTCGGTTCTGTACATCTCAGCTCAATGTCAACGACCACGCAAAGTCCCATAATAACGCTCTCCTCGCTCGCTCCAGCGTTCAGGTCGCCCACTCGATCACGAGCACAGAGACCGCGATAGCCGCAACCTTCCAATCAACGGCAACGACACCTCCCCCATTGTTTCCCTGAGCGTTAGTGGCGCTGGGCAGAGCTGACACGGTCGTGGGCGGACGGAAGCCGCGCGAGCTCGCGAGTGTGGGATACGAGCTCGTTGAGTCCGTCGAAGGGGCAGAGATGGGTAAGATGATGCCCGAGGACGACGTTGAGCCTGCGCTCGCGGTTTCCGAGGCTGAAGAGCTCCCGGCATCGGAAGGGGTGGATGTAGGGATGGTTGTGTCTGTATCCGTGTCCGTGTCCGTATCCGTGTTCGTGTCTGAGTCCGACTCGGTGGCGGTGGGGAGGATGCCTGAGTCTGTGGCCGTTGTTACGTCTGTCGGTGTGTCTGTCGCAACTGTGGAGTCTAGAGAAGTGAGAGTTATGAGTAATGTGTAGTTTCCCTTGAGGAAGTGAAGTTGACGAATGACGAGAACTCACCGGTCTCTGAGGGGTCGGTGGGGTCCGCATTCTGCGCGCGGACGACGCCGCACGCAAAGAAGAGAACGACAAAAAATACTGTCAGATGTGTACGCATGGCTGGAGCGTGGATGACAGTGCAGGAGCGAGCACAGTGGGTGACGAAGCGAGTACTGGACGTCGCGAGGCTTGTCGCCGGTCTGAAGTGCCCTTACACAGATATATAGGTCGTCGTCAGAGGAGGCCGTGAGGGGCTGAGAACAGTGGTACTAGAGAGGCAGATGAGGTAGCAAGAGCGGTGCAGGATAGGAGAGGAGCCGAGTCGTCAAGTCGCCAATTGTGGTGTCTATTGCGGTAATAGTGCTGAGTGGCTGCAGCAGGATAGGGGCGTTTGGGCGCGACAGTCCCGCCATACGCCCCCTTCTGCGCATTGGATGCTAATTTGGTTGTTACAGGAGCAAGTGCGGTGACTGAAATGGTGCGTCAGAGAATAAGTAGACGCAGGAGCTCCGGACTGAGTTCTTGAGAAGTCGGAGGAATGTGCGTACTAAAAACACTGGTGTCAGTTGGACGCGAACTACCAAACGTACCAATTTTGAGAAGAGTTCTGACATCGCGCTTTGATCTCGTTTTCTTCGTCCTGGTTATATGAAATATGGACTCGACACAAGGAGGAGGAGGAGGAGGAGGAGGAGGAGGAGCAGATAGAGAGAGATAGACGCCAGAGGCAACCGTCAGCGACAGAAGACGCCCGTCCGATCTAATCTAATCGCAATCGTGGGTATTTTCGACATTCCCTTCTCTTCCTCAGTGTCCTCACAGCTCTTGTCCGTATATCTCGATGTAGGGCTTCTACGACATGCCAAACGTCTTTAGCAGGCAGTATTTATGTAAGTACTTGTAAGTACATGTCTACTTGAGTCACTCTCGAAGCTGAAGACTTACAGCCTGGCTAGATGAGACTCATCTGTACTCCATCTACAGCGTCGTCGTTGACCTTCTTGGGAGTTTAGGTTTGCTATAGTATGCATCATTACAATAGATTGCTGCGCTGGCTGCATTAACCTTGCGTATACACGCCTCAGACCTCAGGCCTCAGGCCTCAGGATCGACCAAAGCTCTGATTCTTCGAGTTGAAACCAAGGTTCGCACGCGGACCAGCACCAAACACTACCGCTATGACCGTCGCCGCCCTTCGCGCCCTACATGTCGTCATCGGCTCTACAATCGACGAGATCGAGCGAGAGCCACGCGATGACTGGCATCAGCTACTGGGAGCTCGCGGAGAGCATCGTACACAGTGAGTATCATCTCCACTACGCCCGCAGACCGACATCGCAGGTCCCGCTCACAGAGGCGTGCCCACACCCGCGCTTCGTGGTCGAAGGTCATGCGTCGCTCCACAGGTACGTTGTCCCTCTCTCATGCTGCGAAATGCTCGCCGGGGAACCCTGAATGCGTTCTGACACCGGAATGCGACAGTCGTGGGGCTCGAAACACGCGGAGCTCTGCGCGTCTGGCCGCGCCAACTACCAGGCGCAGGACTTCTTCAAGCCGATAGGCTACGCTCACAGTCCCGGGGCTCGGATCTGTCTCGCAGCTGACCCTGTTCATCCTCCGCGCGGTCGTGCACAACTGGCCCGACGGCGAGGTCCGAAGGTGTGCCCGTCTCCTTGGCGTTTCTCAAGTCTTGGCGTTTCCCGGCCAGTATCCTCATTCATCACCGTAGGGAGGCAGGTCCTCACGCGAAGCTGCTAGTGGCCGACAACCAACCTGCTCACGTACGCATGCATTGACGAGGACAGCAGAATCGACACACCTGGCGGAGGCGTGATCGCGGAAGGATTGGGCCCCGAAGGTCCCGTGCGTTCGCTCGTCCCGTACCACTCTCCCCTGCCATTTCCCCACACAGCTCGCATCGTGACGTTGCTAACACCGATGCCGTGTAACTAGATGATGGGCATGTTCGACACGACTCGGAGTGAGTGGACCTACCGCACGATTGGCATAGGCCGAGCTTGGGTGGAAGATCTCTTGCGTCAAGTGGATTCTGGGGTCTCTGTGGGCCTATACGACTGCTGAGCCTGTATGATGGAGGGGCTAGCCGTTAGTATACCAATTGCCTGGATTGTTTGGTGAGGCAGACATGAGACACCGGTGATATGTGGCAATGCAATAAGGGTTTGTGCGTTGGAAGCAGATCAAATAAGAATTTAGGATACGATAGAACATACATTGCAGATGGTGAGTAGTACTGTAACATAGTTATGTACTGTCGGACCAAAAAAACAGTAAGCAAACAAGGATACTCTCTGTCGGGGAGTCGAACCCCGCTTTCGCGCGAACCACTGGGTGACAGGCGCGTGTACTAACCGATATACTAACAGAGAATGACGATTTATCCAAATATTTTTGTATAGCCTGAGCGGCCTCGCGGCCTCTCCCTGAGTCACCTTTTTCTGCCTTGGCGACAACTATCATGGCTTGAATACCACAACTTGATACCAGTAATAGTACTGAGGTTTGACTCAGTAGGTCGATCACAATGCGTAAGTATTCGAGTCACTGACTACGTAGTACTACCGACGTGGCAGAACCTCCACCGTCTCAGGTTGGATCTTTCAGCTTGCTGTATCCGAGGTCAAAGCGCTGCACGTCACTTGTTGAAGTCCTCCAAAGGCCGTAATGTGCGCTGAGTGTCTTTTTCTCCATCTATGTGTAAGGCATATTGCGCAGCTATATCGGAAAGAACGATAAGTGCGTATACTGATGGCCCGCTCGGTGTCTTCTCCGTGAAGAGACACCGGCTCCATGAATTCACAACGACCGTCAGTGCCGGCCCGGCTGTATTTCGACTCGATACAGGCCGAGATTGTTTCTCACCACTTCTATCCTAAAGCGCAATCTAGAGCCACCCACTACATCTCGGCCGCCGTCCTTCAACTCACTTCAGCGTTAAAATCCGGAACATCAACACAGAGCTTCTCTTCTCGTCGCTTGCACGGCGTCCGAGAGGCCGCATTTTGCTCGGACGCCGCTCAGTACATGTGGGCCGTAACTTGTCCACTCTATCGCGTTCGACCTGGCTGGTCAGGCGACGTAGCGAGCACAGAAACGGTACGCTCTATGTATGCATATTGGATCCGCTCGTTCCCATGCTCACGACTGTGCAAGGAGCCGTCTCGTAAGAGCGACGCCGCTCATCGCACACACACACCTACTTAAACACTGTTGCCGCGCATGGAGGGCACAGTCAAATTCCCGCCATCCTTTGCTGGCGCGCTCCCACCCTACGACCGACCAGTTCACAGCAGCCCTGAGAAACGCGCACGGCCTCGCTATCAGCCATGACTATTGCCTCTCTTCGTGCCCTCCACGCCGTCATCGGCTCTGCTATCGACGAGATCGAGAAGGTGTACATGGAGCAGTCCGCGAGCACCGGGCTCGAGCTCGAGCTTCCCTCGCTGGACGTCCCGTACTATAGCCACAAGGAAACCTCGTCCGCAGTCGAGAAGTCGGAGGAGATCAGGCTCGAGCCGAGGGTCTTCGGTGCGGCCAATCAAATTGTAGCAGCATGCGGCCAGTTTACAGCGACGGTCCACAAGCCGTTCTTCTCCCTCGTGGAACTCCTCAATGGGGTGCGTCTCCGATCATCCGAACCTCGTGCATTGCTGACAGGTACTCGTTCGTGTCTTAATCTCGATAGCCTAACGTTACGGGATGTATGCATTTCCTCGAGACGACGCACATCGTTGAGATTCTACGGGAAGCAGGTCCTGCAGGGCTGAGCGTAAAAGATATCGCAAGCAAGGTAACGGACCTACGACGTGCGAAGGACCCAGCGGCGGCTGAGGTCGATCCAGTCAAGACCAGTGCGTCCTTCGCCTCTCCGTCTTTTTGGACGAAGCTAATCTAATGGTGCCCATCCATCAATGCAAGGTCATGTTCTGCGCCTCCTCGCGACATACCACTGGCTCCGCGAGGTCAAGCCGGACGTCTTTGCAAACAACCGGCTGTCGTCCTTCATTGATACTGGCAAATCGACCGAGGAGCTGAGGAGCGCGTGAGTACTTTAACCGGTCTTGCGGCGTCCAGTATCTGACTGATCGTGTACGTAGCCCGAACACCAAGTACGACGAGACAGATGGTGTCGCTGCATTCGCCGGGATGGCGTGAGTCTCGTTGCTTCCCCTCATAAAAACGGACCTCCCTTCTCATCCGAAAAGGTTCGAAATGTCAGCGCGGACGAAGTCATGAAGATACAGACAGGGCTCTGCGACTGGCTGCTCACGGGATGCTCCGACTCGGGCTACCGCGCACCCTTCAACCTCGCGTTCAAGACGCAGCGCAAGTACTACGAGTGGCTTGAAGAGCCGGGCAACGAACACAGGCTGGTGCGCTTCGGACACTCGATGAACGGCACGCGATACTGGGAGGTGGCCGAGAACATCGTACACGGTGCGTTCCTTGCGTCGAGTACTTCCTAGGCCAGCAGGGGCCCACCCCGCTGCAGCAACTTAGACTCAGACGTTGGGTGGGCTGACCGACTGACTCCGGCCCGCAGGATTCCCCTGGCAAGAGCTCCCGAAAGACTCCGTGGTGGTCGACATTGGCGGCGGGATCGGCTCCGTCTCCGTCCTCCTCGCACAGGCGTACCCACACCTCCGCTTCGTCGTGGAGGACAGGGCCCCGGTCGTCGCGCTCGCTCCCCAGGTACGGCCCGTCTCTCCTCCTCCTCCCCCCTCCCCCCCAGCCCCTCGTTGCCCACGAGCATCGGCTGACTGCGCCCGTCCGGCGCGATCCGACAGTCGTGGGGCTCGAAGCACGCGGAGCTCTTCGCGGCTGGGCGCGTCAGCTTCCACGCGCGGGACTTCTTCGAGCCGCGCGCGCCGTTCGCCGTCCCTGGCGTCGGCACCGTTTCCGCGCCGACCGTCTACCTTCTGCGTGCGGTCGCGCACAACTGGCCCGACGCCGATGTGGTCGGGTACGTCCTCTCCTCTCTCTCGTGTCGTCTTCGCGCGCGATCCTCCCGCGCCCCGATCCCGATCCCCGCGCGTGAGGTTCACTGCGAGGTGATGCCATTGCATATGGAGAGCTGACGAGTCACTGGCACGACGCGTGCGAACAGGCTGCTCAAGCGCCTGCGCGAGTTCGCAGGGCCGCACACGAAGCTGCTCATCGTCGACAACCTCCTCCCGTACGCGTGCGTCGACGGGGAGAGCAAGATGGCTCGCCCGGGATCGGGCGAAGAAGAAGGCTCGGCTGTGTCGGAGGGCGCGGTGCGCTCGCTCGTCCCCGACGGCTCGCCGCTCCTGCCCAACCTCGGGCGCGCGAGCTCGAACGGGTACCTGCTCGATGTCTCGGTGCGTTGTTCTCGAGCACGACTTCGGTGAGGGGCTGACGCGCGCCGCGCTGTGACGTGACAGATGATGGCGATGTTGGCGGCGAACGAGCGCACGTACCGCGAGATGGAAGAGCTCACGCGCGCGGCGGGCTGGAAGATCTCGCGCGTGAAGCGCGCGGTGGGATCGTTGTGGGCGTACACGACTGCTGAGCCTATGTAGTGCTGAGAGGAGAACGAGTAGCCAGATCGACTGTGAGAAGTGATTTCCTGCAGAACGTACCGTCGCACTAGCTATACCGCGCCTTGTAGCTAGCTGATATAACTAGGACTGAGATCGCTCATCCATATCATACCCTGGCAGGAGCCTTGTATGAAATCACCAGCCTCCATCTTTCTCCCGCGGACGCCTGCAGGTCGCGCGAGAACGCGAGGCGGCCGCGCTTTCCCGTCGGCCTCGTCTCCCGTCCCTTCTCTCGCCGCCGCCGCCCGTGCTCTGGTTCAAACTCGTCGTAGCCGCTGTACCTGCGGTGCTCGATGTCATCCATCCGGCCCGTGGGCGCCGCCATGTCCGCTGGCGGGGTGTCCGCAGGTCCCGAGTATGTCATCAAGCCTTGGGCCAGGACGACGTTCATGAGGCGGGGATGGAAGAATTTCTGTTCAGCGAAGGAGACCGCGGATGTCAGACGCGCTACACGTATGCTAGGACGGGGTGACGGGCATACCGTATTCCACTCGTCTATGACCTCTGCGACGCGGCTCTTGCGTTTGCTCTTGACGTGCGCGCGCAGCGCCTCGCCCAAAAGGAGCCCTGGCACGAACAGTGTCTCCCGTATCAGCACCCTGCCCATCGAGCACATCGCGAGACGGACGCACCTACGAAGATGGGTGGCCTGACGACGATCGGCGCGGCCTCCGCCAGGAGCGCGTTGACCGGCGTCAGCCCCGCGCCCGCGGCTCTCACATCTGAGAGGAACTGCGTCCAGTCGTCCTGGTTGACGTCGTGCGTGCGGAATGGGTGGGGAGCGGGCGCGCACGCGCACGTCGGGGGCTCGAGCGGGAAACCAGAGGTGGGCGAGGTGAGGTCCGTTCCGCTCGCGTAGAGGATTGCGGGTGGGAAGGGTGTGTATGGGCATTGAGGGGAAGGCTGACGGGCCGGGGGTGGGGAGACGTAGAGGCATCGGAAGCGGATGGCGCAGACGAAGATGATGATAGGGGTCTTGAGTGAGAAGACGAGGACGGCCCTGGTTCAGATTTGGATGTCTCGTAGGAGGCGGAGTGCGATGGGGAAAACGTGATTTGCTTCTTGTCGGTGTCTGGCTGGGAGTCTTGCGGAGGCGTCAAGTATACGGGAGCTTGCTGGGACGTAGACACGTATGCGCTAGGATTGGGATCCGCAGCTCGTGTCCTCCTGTACGGGTTGGTGTCGAGTGGATGAGCGGACGAGGATTCGATCGGGGATGTGCCAGCAATCGTCGTTTCCGAGGTCGCGTCGCTGATGCCGAGAGCAGATGAGCTCGGCTGACTTGCGCTGGCAGAAGTGGTGTATGCTGAAAGAGCCTCCTCGTAGGAAGGTGGAGGATTGGTGTCTGTCCGTATGGGAAGGCCGTTGTATTCGCGTTTTCCGTCCAAGTCCAAAGGCGAGTCCGTTGTGGACGACGAAGATGCATGCATCGCCCTAAACACGAAACGGTCAACAGGTAAAAGTCAAGATCAAGGAAGGTCAACACACACCCGATACTTATATACGCTCACAGCCACTGCCTCCATTACGTCAGATGTCCCACCACATACCCGAGCGATCTCCACGCCGCCGACCTTCTCGGCATGATCACTTGCGCTGCCTACTAGTAGTACTCATCTGAAGGTACATAGTAGACGGAAGGTAGGTCGTCGAGCTAGGTTCTTGACTCAGTACTCAGTACACATGCCTCAGGCCTCATGCGTAGAACTTCGCAATACAGGTAATGAGACAGTGTGCTACAGTAGTCCACGCTTCACAAGAGTGACTTACAACCCGCCGCGTTACACTGGCAGACCGGAGGGTTA